TCACAACACGACCGGGACACCATCAAAACATGACCGGGACACCATCACAACATGACCGGGACACCATCACATGACCGGGACACCATCACATGACCCGGACGCCATCAAGACATGACCGGGACACCATCCGCCCACCAGCTCTGACGGTGACCCGACGGCGCCCGTCCGCCTATTAGTTTTGCAAGACCCCATAGCATGGCCATTGGGGAACAATTTCAAACATATGTTGTGAGATGTCCATAGAGCACACAAGCCGTCGCAGCGTCCAGTGGGCCCTTCCGACGGGCCCCTTACGATTCCCTTTCGTTTCTTGGCAGCTGCAGCCACCGGGTGCCACTTCCATGAACCACCAAACCCATCCGAAGCCCCGAGGACGTGCCACTTTCAAAGCGGTTTCTGGAATTCTACCGCATCGGGTGCTCCACCCGGCCATTGTTCCACCCTCCTACGTCACGGGTGCTCCACCCTCAGGCCCCCCCCGATCCCCCGTGTGCTCCTTCCGCGCGCCCCTTCCGCCGAGGACGCGAACGGGCGGATTGAGTTCAAGTTCGCCAAGGTCTCTGCGCGCTTTGTGCACCTCTCGCACCTGGCCATCCGGAAGCTGCGCGAGGACCGGAGGGTGGAGTCCGGGTGGATGGGTGGAGATGGCGGATGCTTTTGCACCGCAGAAGAGTGTGGAAAGAAGGGAAGAATGAGTAGACTGACTACATGAGTTCGAGCTGAAACCATTGGAAATGCCCAAATTCTTTCGCGATGGTCGTTTTCCAGGCCAAGATGGAAGCTTTGCCTCCATTGTCGAAGCAGACCTTCCTGCCTCACCCGCATCCCAACCGGAACCTCAATGAGAAAATGGGCTGCTCGGCAAGCAAAGACCATCGGTGCCCACCGCAGGCAGACCGGGCACCGCGGTGCCCACTTCGCGGTACCGTGGAGGGAGCCGAGTCCAGTCCGCAGTGAGGGAATGGGGTGTCGAACCAGCAGCGAGCTGCTCCAAGCACGTTTCTTATCCTTCTCATTCTCATGCCTTAAAGCAACGAACATGGAAACTTTGAACAATACTGGTAACAACATCTTGGAGTACTGAGTCAAGTTTTGTCTTCCGCGTGCCAGTGCTTTGTTAGTCAAGAAGCAGGACAGTTTCTGGGAGACCTAGGAACTTGGTGAGGCGAGGGAGTGTCCGCCTGTGCAGGTTCCACGCTTCTCCGGCGGCTCTCAACTCCCCAGCTCTCGGTCCCTTTCATTGCACTCCTGGTCGGTATTACAGCGCATAACATACCACCTGAAAATGATCCTGTCACCAATCAGAAGCTACAATGTGCGCAGCTATAGAACTGAACCAACGGCAACATAGAATGCCACCACCTGTGAAGACCTCAAAAAACCGCGGACAATCCACCCGACCCATATGCTTTGTTTTCGCCGGTCAGTTTGCCTTAGCAAGCCTTAGCATTTTATCATTCACTGACCGCTTCACGAGCAGGGACTAAGGAACTGACCAGCCAGCTGTGAAAGCTCCACTTGACCGTAGAACCTACCGCTGCACCCGAAGGCACCCGTGCACCCACAAAAAAGGCAGACTCTGCAGACAACGGCAGAGCAAGATCCGCACAAGGAGCACAGGAGGTTTGAGTGTTTGTGTATTTTTGTTGATGTTTATAATTTATATCCTTTTTTCTTTTTGTCTTCATACTTTCTTCTGCTTCCGTGTGCTCAAGTCGCAAGGTATCCCCCAAGCTTTCTGCTAGCTTTTGTTCACCCCGGCTCGAACTATGCTTGTCATGCTTGTTAGTTTGTCCTGGTATATTCATTCTTCCTCAACAAACTCAGCCCGTCGCTGGTTTGAACGCTTGGCCTATTATTTTGAGACCAACCATAACGTGTTACAGTGCTTGGCATGCATATAGGAATAGGATGGCAAGGGTCCTATAATTGTGTTCTGCCCTCGTGGAAGAATTGGTCGACGTTCACAGTTCAAAATGCATGGAGTTTGCACCTGTCAACCCAGGTTACATCCACATGTTGAGCAATGGCTATGTCGTCGAACTGAAGGGCTGGACCCACACCCGGACCTATGTGACGTGGCGATACACGTTTCGAACCAATCATTTCTTTGGCGGTGTCCTTTTCTGATCTTTTCTGTGAAATGAGATTCATCCTGGAGCTGGTTGGTGGTTTGAAGTCTGTGGGTTGGATTCTTCTGATCACTTAGCCTCCGCGCATGGCACAGAGGCTCGGGTTTGCCGGATCTTACCGATTTACCACGGTAGATGATTCAGAACCGGTGATTTCTTTTGTTGCTGGTGTACTGGCAAGACCATATGGCTGCATGAAGCGTCAAGGAACATGTTACTGGTGTCGCTGCTCGCTTATTTGGTGCAGGTGTAGCCTTCAACCTGCTCGGGAAAAACCGCACCCGGTGGCCCACGAGCAAGCGGTTGGTCTTGACCGGCTCGAGCAGCTGTTCAGCGCTGGTCTTCTTCCGACACGTCCTCGGTCGTCCAGCGGTCGTCGCCTCCGACCCCGCGAAGCGGGACTGGTGGGAGGGGACGGCGGGGGCCAAGGCCAAGGGCTTTTTGCGGAACAAACCTGGCGCTGCGTGGGCCAATGTCTATGGCTTGGAGCCAGGTACGATGGAAGGGAGGTGGCCACAAGGAAGTAGTGGGGTTGAGAAGGTCGCCGATCCTTCATAAATACCCCTATGCATTTCTGTGATCAATCCCTCCAAGTTGCAGCTTCTGTGCAACATCGGGTCACCAGGCTGGCATCAAGGTCGAGCACCATCTCATCCACACATCCAAGGGTCGTCCTCAGACGCCTCAGAGGGTCGCCCTCTCAATTTTTCGAACACGAAAACCCAGTTCAAACGTCGAAGGCGCCGGGACGTCGTCCCGGTCAGCGTGGCTTGGCAAACGCATGCAAGACCGTGGTCTGGAGTCCCGGTCATGCGAACCGCCCGGAACGCCACATGAAGCGTAACATAACCGAACATCCAGAGGAACGCTGGATGTGAGCAAGCTTGCTCAGTCATTTGGTCTTTGGATTTTGGGTTTCCCTCCAAGCTAGCCCTCACCTGACCATGCGATCCAGTGTTCGTGATGTGGCAGCTTCTGCGACATGTTTTTCCCGAGCTGGACTTCTTCCAACGGGCTCCGGAAAACCAAAACGCCACCAGGCAAGCTCTATGCTTTCAAAATCTATCAGTTTGCCCACGGCCGTTGGGGCCCGGGTTGGAACCCGCTCAAAGTCAACGGCAAGCCGCTGGGCGCTGGGCGGTTTCGCCTCTGTGCGGCGCAGCATTTGGGTTTTTTTTCGCGGCGGAGAAGAACGGGTCAAAGGTATAGGCCGGTAGTATAGGGTCACTGAACATGATTGAACACGACTGAACCCCAAATGTCTGGGTGTTCGCGGGTCGGACCTTCTTCCAGATGCAGAAGACCCCCTTCTTGACCGGGCCAGGCAGGTGACGAGGGGGGGGGATCTGGAAGGTGTGCCTACCCATGGCGTTGACCCAGCGGCACGATCGCGCGATCGCTTCAGATTTTGTGATGCACTTCGTTGGTTTGGGGACCAATTGGGCAGACCAGTGGATTGCCGGTGTTTTTTTGTCAGGATTTGGTTAGTCATTGTAGTTTGACCAACCAATTTGGCTTTCCAGTGTGAGGCTTCGATGGCGTTTTGGGGTGGAAAACAAATTGGAGTTCAACTTGTTGTGCATGGTTTGGCTGCCCCAGATACAGGGGGCGAAGTTCTTCGTCAGTTCACGCACTTCAGAACTTCTTTCTCGAGCTTCGGAGGCGGAGCACGTCCCCCCCACCCTCGGAGAACGTCCCCCCTGCTTTGCTCCGCTGGCCTGGCCTCACTGCTCCGCCTGAGGTCTCTGGGTCGGACGTTCACTGGACAAACGTCCACGAAGGCGACGAAGAGTGGTGCCACACGAGCGAACGAGGAGGGCAAGATCCGCTTTCAGTTCATCAGGCGCCGCGCGGATCCTCGCCGCGCGGATCCTCCGGAAACCCGAATGCTTTGGTACTACCAGCAACCTACCGGGGTGAAACGGGCAACCCTCTTGCCCAGGTTTTTCTCGCTTCCTATGCTTCTGCTCATATAACTCATATGAGCGGGTGTGGCAGGAGCAGGAACCTAACGGAATAACAAGAAGTGAACATATCAAACGCAAACGGTGTACATGCGGTCAAACAAGGCCTGACTCGCTCGCTCCAGTCCCGGGCCTCGGACGTCCGGCGTTCAGGCTCTCCGGACCGAAGCCTCGCCAGGCAATCGCCCCATGTGCACCTCTCGAGTATCAGCTTGGCCCGCGTGGAGGAGGAGGCATCGGGAAGAGCCCGGTTACATGTTGTTTTTCTCTTTGATTTTGTTGGGGGTGTTTCCCGTTACATGGTTGGAAGCTCCAGAGGACAGGCTTCAAGAGGGGTCCCAGAAAAGGTTTGAACGCTTGGCCGTTGATCAACAATGAATAGGGAGGAAGCTCGAACATGGCCGTTCAATGCGGCCAATGGGGTATGTCAACAAGGAAGTTTGACGAGAACCATGGGTTCTGGTTAGTGATGGCACCTCGATCCATCATACCTTGGCTCCCACGTTTGACATGTCACTCCCGGAAAAGTCCTTGGGCCTTTGATGTCCGCGATGGCGACGGTAGCCACCACAAAATCCCCAAACTGGGCCATGTCAACAAACCGGATGCACCGGACCAAGAGCTCCGCACGACATGGGTCTTGTGCAAAGCCAGTCGGCGACACATGAGGGCCCCCCACACACGCACCACATGCCGTCACATGCCTCGGTTGAGCTCTGCACCAGGAAGGTGATGGCTACTTGTCAACACTCCAGGAGAACAGCTTCAATGACCCTGGGACCCAGACGACGTTGCGACCAGTTGCGATGGTCCAAACCCACCCATCGAACCCCTTTCATTGGCCAAAAGCATTGGGTGCAGAGCTCGAAGAATTCTTCGAGCCGGAGGAAGTTTGGTATGACGATTTTGTGTTTGATTGAAGCGAAAACGAGGATGTTTGGTTTGCTGCTTGGCAGAAGCAAGTTGTACAGAAACGTGACTCTGGTTTGCTTCTATCTCTCGTGTCACGACCAGGAAGCACGCGAGGAAGAATGCAGGGGGTTCCTATCAAGTTTCGATACCCGAACATATCTTAAAATGAATGTGGTGAATATCCCCCCGTACTTCGTACCGCCGAGTGCGAACAGTTTTAGGCGTGGAACAGATAGGAATGGCCAAGTGACACACACACACACACATACACACACACACACACACTTGAGATTTTGTGTACGGACGCTGATGCGGTTTGCCACACGCCGGCCTAAGTGAAAAACCTAAGGCACCAGGGTGAGTACAAAGTTCCAAAGTCTCCAAAAATCAAAGTCTCCAGATTCTTGAAGCCTCCAAAATGCTCAAAGCGGCGACGGGCCACTCTTCGGGGTCATCCTGGGCTCTCACTAAGGAGAGACACACTTGCCACACGCCAACCTGGGTACCCAATTCCTGAAAAGGTCAAGTAAACCTACGGAGCCTGGAGGTCTTCAAGAGGAAGCAGGGCCAAAAGCTCAATGCGTGACTGCAGAGGAGGCTTAAAATTGAAAGGCAGGTACGTCAGTGCTGGCCGGGCACTGATATCACATCCACTTGGTGCGGTCTTTGTTAGATGACGCACACCAAGGGATCCTCATCCCCCTGCTGTGAAAATCAAGTTGAGTGCTTCCCTAAATCCAGGCTGTAAATGCAGAATCGCGTTGTGGTAAGCCACGGGCAGTGACTTCCCTTTGACTCGTTCGGTCGAGCTCCCTCAAGCAAATGATTTGCCGCTTCCCCACTCCGACCGGCGGGTTCCGCTCTCTCTCTCTCTCTCGCACAGCTGCCGCGGCGGCCCCCTGCTGAAACAAAAAATCGTAAAGAAATCTTTAATCGAAAAGGATCCCTGTGACTCCAAGGGGTACACATCCCCAAGAAGAGGCACGCGGAGATACATCCAGTTGATCATCCCCTGCTGTAAAAATCAAATTGAGTGCTTTTCTACATGCATGGAGAGGGGTGTGCCTGGGTGTTGCATCCAGGGACATCACTAGGGAGAGGCACACCTATAGAAATGCGTGCTGATGTGAAAGCGGTTGCCACACGCCAACCCGGGTACCCAATTCCTGAAAAGGTCAAGTAAAACTACGGAGCCTGGAAGTCTTCAAGAGGAAGCAGGGCCAAAAGCTCAATGCGTGACTGCAGAGAAGGCTTAAAAGGGAAAGGCAGGTACGTCAGTGCTGGCCGGGCACCAAGGGATCCTCATCCCCCTGCTGTAAAAATCAAGTTGAGTGCTTCCCTAAATCCAGGCTGTAAATGCAGAATCGCGTTTTGGTAAGCCACGGGCAGTGACTTCCCTTTGACTCGGTCGGTCAAGCTCCCTCAGGCAAATTATTTGCCGCTTCCCCACTCCGACCAGCGGGTTCCGCTCTCTCTCTCTCTCTCGCACAGCGGCCGCGGCGGCCCCCTGCTGAAACAAAAAATCGTAAAGACATCTAATCCAAAAGGATCCCTGTGACTCCAAGGGGTACACACATACACACACACACACACACACACGCACGCACGCACGCAAAGTCACGAATTGGCTCTATTTTGCCTGTTGTAAAATCCTAGAGGTTCAAATGTGTTGTTTTTCTCGGGTCATTTATGGTCAACTGCTTTTTTTACAGTGGATTGAGAGTAGATGGCACAGTCCCAAAAGGTGGTTTATATGGATCCCCCATCTAAAAGACATTTTGGGGGTGCCAGTGCCATCTACTCTGAAACCACTGTAGTTGTTCTTGTTTTGAATTCCAAAAAAATCCGGAGTTGACATTGACCTTACAAGACATTCCGGGGGCTCGGGAACGAAAAACCGTTTGATTCCTAAGGACTGGCCTAACGCGAATCTGAATCCCAAACACGGGTACCACTACATGCTGAGCGGCGGCTTCAGATGTGTTCTTTCTGGTTGGACGCACGTCAGGCGCTTTTGACAAAAACAGCGCCCCAGGGAACTCACTCGATTGGTCGGGGGAAACCAATGGTTTCCTGCTTGCTGTATACTCGACAAACAACCCATGAGTCATTGGATTCCCCAACAAGCCAAGTGATGACGCCTTTGGGTTTCCAGTATCGGACGCTGCCAGTAGCGTCCATACAGCTTCTAGTCCATTTCGTCAAACAAATGACCGAAGTCAATACAGATGGTCACCGTAGAATTTTCACAGCAAACTGGTGTTTGATGGAACCGCAAAGAGGGGGCCCTGCTCCTCCGCTAGCATCCTCCCTCCCTGCCTCTTTTTTCCGGAGGAGCTACGCCATGGGAGTCCTGCGGAACCGGCCTGGGTCGGGCAGAGCGCTCGTGGTGGACTTGAAACCCAACAAGCTCTACACTTTCCGGATCTACCAGTTTGCTTCGGCGTGCCTGGTTGGCTTCGGATGGCGGTGTTCTGTTTTAGAGGACCTGGACAACAAGCAGGAGGTGTCCTAAAGGGACGTCTCGGAGCAAACGTTGTGTTCGCCAGGCTTGACCCCAACTTCTGGGCACTAGAATGCACTAGACGCCTCCCAAGAAAGACCATGAAAGACCTTCATGAAGAGACCTTCGGATCCGGAACCCCACCGCCAAGAACTGTCCGCTGGGCATCGCCACGCTTTGGGCGCGTTGGTTGTGGCCCACGGCGCCACGCAATTAGTAGCTGCGCCCGTTTGGAGTCGCCCGCGTTGAACCACCCCCCCCGCGGTCTCGTGGTCGTCGGACGGGACGGAGTCCGCGTTTCGGCTTCTCCCGGAGCCGCGGGGGACTCGCCTTTTGCGGCCGAGGGCGCCTGGCAAGAATGGGCTGAAAGTGAACGGTGGGCAAATGGTGACCACGGTCCAGGGCAAGAGCACTGCCCCCACCTTCGAAGGACCGGTTGGAAGCTCGGGTGGCTGGAAGAAGGGGGTGCGAGGACGACATCCTTTGACAACATCGTCGAAGCAGGAATGCGACCTGTGATAAACAGATCTACGTTCTTTGTAACATGGGTTGTAACATGTTGTAACAGGGAGCTGGGCAGAGAGCAACATGCAGATGTCAGCTGCATGTTGCACTTCTTCCCTTCCGCACTTGGAAAAGCCACTTGGAAAAGCTCTCTGCGGTGGTCTGCGGTGAAGACTCGGAGCGAGAACGTTGCACTGCACTGTCCAGTGACTGGTCTCAGGTCAAGAGTCTTGGTGAAGTTCTGGGGTTTCCTGCACCATTCATCTTGGATGTGCGTCTTGGACATCTTGGGGAACATCAACCAATTATAGATCATTATACCAGCACCCTCCTGGCCAGGCTGTGAACGTTGAGGGTACGTTGGACCAGGTCGAACCAGGCGAATCGGTGGGTCCCTGTTGGTCCGTCGTCGGGTCCGTGTTCGTCGTTCGTCTCCGCGCCGCAGGGATGGCCCGGTCCAATGCCAAGGGTGCGGGGCCTCGGTGCTCCCGGTCCCCGGCCCGAGAGTGACTGGAGGGAGACGTGGGAGATGGATACGGGAGTGCCGCCGGGGCGGTTGTTTTTGGTTCCACGCGGTCAACAAACCCCTCAATCATATTGAGACTAAGTCCCAATTCAGGTGTGGCTGCTGCGACACATATTCAAGTTGCAAGCTCTCCTTACGTAACTTTGCTATAGAACAGGTTGATCTTCCGAAGCCGGACGCTGGCCACAGCCGGTGCACAGTTAAGCTAGATTGGCCTGCTCTAGGAGTGATCACAATACGGTTCTGACAGGTCTAGTTCCATCTGAGCCATTTGGGTACGCACCGGAGCAATCAATGAGTGCTGATCAGCTGTCTGAACTCTTCAACCAGTTCGACCAATTCAATCTACGTCATGCGTTGAGAGACGCGACCTGCCATTTTGCAGGGGGGGATATTGTTTAACTATTATTTAAAGGCTTACGCCTAACAGCCGGGCGCCGGCCCACTTGGGTCTGTGGGGCGTATGTCACGCCTATGTTGGCCTTGGTGGGGCCTATATTGAGCAAAGTTAAGCTATCTGGCGCGCATCTTCGCCCTAGGTTGGGCCAAGTTGGTGACGAGGGTCGGCGGTTGGGGGGGCGAGCGTCTATAACCTTCGGTTACCACCGAAGGCCCTGCGGGCAGGGCCCGGGCTTCGTGGCCGGCGCCCGGATTTAAAGGCTTACGCCTAACTGCCGGGCGCCGGCCCACTTGGGTCTGTGGGGCGTATGTCACACCTATGTTGGCCTTGGTGGGGCCTATATTGAGCAAAATTAAGCTATCTGGTGCGCATCTGAGCCCTAGTTTGGGCCAAGTTGTGCCCATGTGGTCTATGTTGGGCACATCTTGGGCCCATGTTGCGCCGATGTTGGGCCTATGTTGCCCTATGTTAGGCCTATGTTGGCCTAGGTTGGGCCTATGTTGGCGTATGTTGGCCCCATGTTGGCCTCATGTTGGCGCTATGTTGAGCCATCTCGGAGGCTGGGCATATGTTGGGGATATGTTGGCTATCTTGGGCCTATGTTGTGGATATGTTAGGCACTTTATGTTGAAAAAATCTTCCGATACAACTTTTTACGATTTTTCCTTCCCGCAAAGCAAAAGCACTGGAAAAACCTACGTTTTTTGACATCGCCAAGCTGAAATTCTCGGCTGCCGAGGGGCCCGAAACCCTGTAAAACACAGTGTTTTTTTATACCTCACACATACGATACACTGTAAATTACAGGGGCATCAGTGAACAGGAAGTGACCTGGGAGTCCCCCCGTTTTGGGAACGAGGGTCGGCGGCAGCCGGCGCGCCCGTCTATAACCTTCGGTTACCACCGGAGGCCCTCCGGGCATGCCACGGGCGTCCTGGCCGGCGCCCGGATTTAAAGGCTTACGCCTAACAGCCGGGCGCCGGCCCACTTGGGTCTGTGTAGGGCTGGGTCGGGTGCACGTTAAGCTATCGGGGGCGTACTGGGCCCTGGGTGGTGCCAAGGTGGGAAACTGGTCCGCGTCGGAGACGGGGGCCCTATATTGAGCAAAGTTAAGCTATCTGGTGCGCATCTTGGCCCTAGGTTGGGCCAAGCTGGGCCCATGTGGTCTATGTTGGGCACATCTTGGGCCCATGTTGAGCCTATGTTGGCCTATGTTAGGCCTATGTTGGCCTATGTTGGGCCTATGTTGGCCCCATGTTGGCCTATGTTGGCCCTATGTTGAGCCATCTTGGAGGCTATGTTGGGCATATGTTGGGGATATGTTGGCTATCTTGGGCCTATGTTGAGGATATGTTAGACAATTTAAGTCGTCTGGAGGGCCTCTACCCACAAAATGTCGATTAAGCCTGTCCGCCCGGCGCGCATTACCAACACCACCCTTGAAAAACACAGCATTTTTGCATTTCTCCCTTTTCCCCGCGTCGTACTTCGATATGCGCAATAAACCCTGTAAAACACAGTGTTCTTGAACATCGCACGCAAAAAACACTGTAAATTACAGGGGCATCAGTGGGTCCCCACCGAGGGTCGGCGGCAGGGGGCGCGCCCGTATATAACCTTCGGTTACCACCAAAGGCCCTCCGGGCAGGGCACGGGCTTCGTGGCCGGCGCCCGGATTTAAGGGCTGCCGCCCCTATTTTTCTTTCCTGCAGGTTTTAACAAATGAAACAAAGCGAAAATTTGGAGAAAAAAAACATGTTTGTGCTGGTTGCGTTTGTCATTCTCCTGAGCTTGGCACCGGCGTCCTCCAACGCACGGGTCAAGCGCTTCTTCAAGGAGGCATCGTCGCTGCACAGGAACACGCCGTCCATGTGCCACGCCGAGCACCTGGGTTGCGTGGGAGAACGGTTGAGCACGTTGAAAGCAATGGGTTGGAAGCTCGACTCAAAAACTCATGGACAAAATCGCAAACCCTCAGAGGCACCATGCCCTTGCACCGCGACTCAGTCGAATTGTTCGCGTCAATCTTATAGAAGTTTATCTGATTGATTTTTATGTTTTAAAGATGTTTTTTCGTTTTACATTTATTTAAGATCGATCTGTAGCAAGCACTACTGTCTTGCGTCCCGGCAATGTCCACACGAGAGACACGTCCACGGCAATGCTCGGTGCCAAGACGGAGGGACCTGCCTTCCTGCACCGAGCAAGCTCGCTGGAGCAAGTGCCGCTCGTTTGACATGGGCAACGAATGGAAACGATGACGCCCATGTTCAGTTCGCTCGACCTCACCAGTCTCTTTCACATCACAACTCTTTGCTTGGTAGATGTTGCATGGTGCTTGTGGGCAGTAAGAGCTGCTCACATGGGTTCCATTCTATCCGAAAGGTGTATGGAATGAGGGGTATGAGTATTTGTCTAGCATCCATGACCATCCAAACTGTGTTCTAAGCAATGTATGTGTCTCGAAGTGTTACACCGTGTAAACACTTCCATACTCTTCCAAGCAAGGTGCGCAAAACGGACCATGTGACAGATTATACTGGAAGTCGGACTCTCATACCATTCGGAACAACCCCCTCCGAGAACCGATGCTGTTGGGCGGTATATCTCTGCCGATCCGTTGGATCATGGGAATGGTTGAGTCAGATCGGATCCTGGGAGCTGAGACACCGTCCGTCCGGAGATCCCTGGGGCTTTCGCTCGAGACCGAGGCCCTGGAGGGTTTCGGGATGCAGCGGTGTGGAGAGCATCACCACCGGGAAGCATGCTCCAGAGAAGGTGCAGAAGCTGCTAGTTGCTGGATGTTGGGGCCCGTGCTCACGAGGTCGGAGGACCTTAGAGAACCGAACTATACCGAACTGGAATTCACACCGGACCAGCGTGGACTGTCTTGAAAGACTGCTGGGTGTAGCTTGTTGGCAGGTGCTGAGTTGGTGCACTATCTAGTTCATCAGCATTGTCGCATGTGCCAGTTGTATTTCATTTTGCCCATGCAGCTGTCTTAGATTCAGAACTATTCTGAATCCAGCCTTTGTGGTACTTGTTCAACAACAATACTTTATTGCTGGCCCCGGCCGGACGATTTTTAAACGTTCATCGTCTACGTGTATGACTGTTGCAAATTCACACCAAACATTCTTGGATTTGTCTGAGAAAGCTGAACAAACTGCGGACAGTACTTATTTCGAAACACCACCACCCACTAGCAAGGCCCACCACAAAGAAATTGGTTCAAGTTCGGTGTTGGCTGCCCAGATGCCACAAGTCACCTGAGAATCCAATGCATGTCCCGTTTTGATGGGAAATACACACGTCCGGTGTTTTCTTGTGTATCGTGCGGTTGCGTCGCTCGGTGGCTGAGTGAATCACACAATGTAGAGTCTCAGAGACTCCAAATAAAAGACGCCTCTTCGTATAAATATAGGCTTTCGAGTAGAGGAGTTGACTCATAATACGACTTGCAAATTTGAAGGACGTTGAGGTTGCAGGTATATATAGTATATTGTGCAATCGAATGACTCGGGCTTCAGTGTGCTTGCGTGGCGAGCGCGTGTGGCTCGTGAGCGCTGAGAAAGCGGACGAGGCGCTGGCTGCGCTGCGTTGTCTTCGCGATTCGAGGGCTTCGTGGACGAGAGTTGCGCCGCTCGAGTGCGGTGAAGGGAGAAACGGAAGGATAGTGCACAGTAATGGTGCTGCAAAACTCATCTGACTAACTTCGTAGCAGGCCGAGGGCAGGTGTGGAACCTGGCCCGTCTATGGAGAACATGTGGACTCTCTCTCTCTCTTCTTTGTTTGTCTGTCTCTGTCTCTGTCTTTGGCTTCCTCGCTATCTGGCTGTCTGTCTGTCGTGGTTGTCTGTCCTCTCTTGTCTTGTTCTGTCTTGTCCTGTTTTGTCTGTCGGTGGGTCTGTTCGTTGGTCTGTTTGTCTGTGTGTTTGTCCGTTGGTGTTGGTCGGTGAGTCGGCCTGTCTGGCTGTCGGACTTGGTCTGTTGGAATTGAAGGGACAGAATGTTGGACAGACAAATGGACAGAGAAGCAGACAGAGAGACAGAGATAGAGGCAGAGGAGACCAAGACACAACATCGCTGGAGCTTATGCCACGCCATGTTGCATAGCAGGATGTGTTTGGATGACAGCTACCGACCTGGACTTGAACACTCAGAGGTATCAATCGAAGTAACCTGCTGGATAGTCTAGAGTTGGTGGGCATATCTGGAGCCGATGCTCGTGTGGGATGCTGGTCGAGGGATATGTTTTGTTGAGAATTTGGCCTGGGGTGGAGTGGGGCAGTGAAGCGTTGGCGCCGCAGCCAGCAAAGCTTGTGCCGGAAGAAGGGCCGCCCAAAGAAGGCAAGGCGTTTATCGGCGGTTAGTTGGTGGACTGTTTTGGTATTTCTGGTGGTGTGGCAATTTTTGGCAGGAAGCAGTAATCGGTTGCAAGTTAGTGCTGTTGCCTCAGCACGTTGTTGGTGGCGATCATAAGGCTGATTTCAGCATGGCGTAAAATGTAGCTTCGAACAGTGAGCAAGTGATTGTCCTGAAGG